AAGGGACAGTCTTAGCTTTTGTAGAAAATATGACTTAGATATTTTTCTCTCCTGCCTCCCAAACCTCTTGTACTGCACCAAATCGCTGATGCAAACCATGGGCAGCAGCAAACTTTCTGTGGAAAAGTGCAGGAGCCAAATTGGTACAGGATTTTCAGGTGGTGTTTTAACCATTTGTAAGGGGTTTTTTGCTTTTAATTTGTGTTTTTATAAAGTACTCTTTCCTTAGTCTAGCTTTTGAATTCAACCGAGAATTGAAGTGGTGAAGAAATCAAGATGGTATTAAGTTTATTGTGTTTTTCCTAGACTTAGGAAATGATTAGTTACTACATGCAGGTGCTCTCAGAAGCACTAAAATATTCAAGACTATGCTTCAGACCAGCAAACAGTAAAACACCGCTGAGTTTCTGATTTGAAATGTTTGTCTAATCTGATTAGGTGACTCATACAGAATTAGATATGTAATTGATGTTGTTGAGGTTTAGTCAGTTGATATGGGATACAAAAATTCCAAGGATGTGCTCAAGGTTTTGAGTGGGACTTCTAGAGTCCATTAGTGTCTGTCCAAACAGTAACTGAGAAGCTCTAACATCCCTTAAATATATCACTGTGGTGTAAAATGGCTTGTCCAGAAGAACTGCAGTAGACATTTCTGGTCACTCTGAAGTGGCATATCAGCTGCTGCTACACCAGAAGGTAACTCACGTATCTCCAAGGAATAACGCTGAAAATCAAATGATTTATATTTTTCAGAAACAAGGGTCCATGTAATATTTCCACATACAAAGATTCAGATACCACAGATGCTTATTTTGCTATCTATTGGACCTCTTTTTAACCATAAAGAACAAAAAGTAGTTGTTTTTTTTTCTGTAGAAATTCTAGGTAATAACTTTGGGAAGTTGTAAGTAGAAAAAATTTGTTATTTTCACTAAATTTCTAATCATTATCTATAATATATGTTTGATCTGGGCTATTAAGTTTCTGCAACATTTTATTTTTAGTCATGCCATTATTTATAATTATAAAGCCGTCCTGCTAGTCAATTAAATATTAATTTCATGCTTTCTTCTTCATACATTGCCTTAGATATATTCTAGATATATCTATAAGATTGTGAATTTGAAAGTAGAAATTTCTCAGTAGAAAGGATCAGCAATTTCAGAACATCAAATAGTGTAATAGGAAATCTGCTTTCTACCCTGGCTGAAATGATAATTTGTACAGTCTTCTGACTGTATAAATAGGCCTGAAAAGAGACAGAAAGAAGGGGAGAGGAAGGGAAAGGGAGAATCCAAAGCCTATTCCAAACATCAAATGCTAATTGCAGCTGAAGACAAGCACCTGAATTTCTGCCACAAAGGGAGAAGAGTGTTGCCAGGAGCATTGCAATGACCATTTGACATTTCAGCTGTCGGCCCTGCAGCATATAATCATAGGGTGTATTTAAGTTCTCTAGCAATTGCAAGTCTACTAAAAATGTAGTATTCTGACAGCCATCAAGCTGAGGGAATGACAGGTAAAAAATACATATGAATATAAATTTTATGGTGCTTTTTGTTATAAAAAGTGATTCAGCTTGCATACTCATATGTTTTTTTCATTTTTTCTTCTTCGCAATCCTTGAAGGCACTTGGTAGCAATAACGCAGTACAATTGTTTTATGAAGCTATTATGAGTATTTAGCTTCATAATGACTACCTGTGCACTAAGTAAATAGAAATTTTTCACTGCTGCAGAATGAGAGTCTTTGTGCTTCTGAAAAGTGCATGCTTTTTCCCTCAACATTTCAGACAGTTTTAGAGATAGTTGTGAGGAATTTGGAAATCCAGTTATCTTTCATTCCTACTCCTTTGGAAGCTACTGTGGTAACGGCAATAATTGCTGCTCCTTCAAGTAATGACTTTCCCAGAAAAAATGTCTTTTACACAATGGCTTTCAGGTCATAGAAAACAAAGTCACTGCGTGGCCGATATGGCAAAGCCTAAAGAAAGGGAATAAAATACTTGCTTGGTGCCATATGGTAGAAACCTCATATCAGAGGTAAATAGCAGTTAAACCCTTGCTTACTTCTATCCTTGTGGAATTCTGGTTGAAAGCTTATCTTCAAGCGCTAGGAAACTAAGGTCCCTGCCCAGCACAGCACTGATACATAGGCGTAATGTTAAGTATACTGGTAATTCTACTGAGTCAACAATAGTCTGTCTTTGTGTCATACAAGAATTTCACAATTATAAGTCTCAAATAGGCAGTGATATACAGGCAGAATGTCAAAGAAACAAATGAAAAAGTTTTAAGCCACTAAATCAGGAACAACTTTTCCATTGTAAACTGAAATATGAATTTTCTTTCTCTTCTGTAAATACCTTCTATGAAACATATTTTCTTCAACTCCATCTCAATAGTGACAAAGGTCAGGCCTTAAGAAAATCCTTTATTTCAATACTTGCAAAGACAAAGAATAAAGCAGAGCTGTGCTGCAAGTCATTCTCCAATTTGGAGCATTGTAGACACCTAAATTGGACTACTGGCCTAAACTCATGAATGTATTTATTCCTTTAGACTGAATATACCTTGCTTACCAATTATAATAGCTAGATTTTTTTCTTTAAGCTACTTTGTTGGATCTTGGAGATGTAGTTTGCACAGCTAAATCCTAATTTTTTATTCATTTTGTTGGAAGTTGCATCTAAACAATGACACAGAAATGAATGTTCTACATATAGATTGTTCACCCACTTGGAAAAGTACAAAATCTCTATGCCTTGCTTGAAAACCTGGTTTTGCATTAGACAAGTTCAGCTGAGTTTACAAGCAAATGTACAGCTAATTACAAGGGTAAGCAAATTACAACAAATTACTAGGGTAAGCCTTATGAGAATATCTGCATAAAGGCATGGCAAAATGATGACTCAGGACCACCTATTGTAGCATTTTGCTTGAATAGTGTGAAATGAAAGGCACTCACCCTTCAAAATTTCCCAATGCCAGGAGCTAAAGAAGCTCAATAAATTACAGGATTAAGTACAGTGTGAATGTAAGAAGACACATCTTGTGTTCTGATGTACATACAGAATTTTGAGAGCAGTCACAGCTACCACAGACCCAGACTGAGGGCAGACTTTGGGCTTGACTTCTGTATGAGATGTGTTAATTCAGTGTAAAAACCAGAAAGCTTCTACAAACAAGGCTACAATGGACATGTAAAAGGAATTTTAAGCTGCTTTTCTGAGTTAAAAAAAATTAAGACAGAAAGATGGTATTAAATGCAGGGCAAGAGGCCACATTCAATCCCATAGCTGAATATTCCTAAGGGAAAATAGAGAAATGAAAGCAGGCTGACATGACAAGGTGCCCCTATATTAATCTTGAAGCAAAAATCTGTGGTGACTACTGATCTGAGATGGCTTATTCGTGATCTCTAGCTGTTAAGTTTGCAGATCTCAGCTGGGCCCATTTGGTATTTATCCTTTCTCTAGGGAGAGAAGGGAAAAAACAGTGTACAGACTTCCCAGTCTTTGAAAGCCCAAAATAATAGCTGTTACACTTCACATTGGCTGACCTTTGTGAGTGAGGACATGCCTCCAACTGGCTCAGATATTTTCTCAGTAGAGATATCAGTGTGCTGCACATACTCCATGTTACCGAATGAAACTTTAGGCAATTCTCAGTAATCAGGAAGCAGCTTTCATTTTCATGAGAAGTTTCCCTCCAAACTGCACCTGGCAAATTAAGAACTGAGAGTTCACTTTGTTTAGATTCTGTGACACTCTTAAACCTAACAAACAGTAGTACTTCATAAATTAAACATATATTTTATTGTAGTAATGCATCAAGACATGATGTTTTAAGATAGTTCTTCAGATAAGTCTACAGTCACTATAAAATGATTACTTCAAAATATGAAAGCACAAGAAAGACTGTTCATAGCCTGTGATATATAGACTTTATAGCGAAGATTTTAGCTGCATCTGCTCTTGCTATTTTCTTTGAACTTCAGAGCTGTGACAATGAATGTGTCTTAAAAACTAAGATTGATTTTTTTTCATTATAGTATGTCTATCTAAGAACACTTTTCTGCTTTACACTTCATCAGCCACCATTTTAAGGACTGGGAACAAGTTTAAAAAGATAAAAAGAAGACGGGAAAAAGCATGATAAAAAATTAAATCAACTTCAAAGCAAAAGTACTTCTTATTCCAAAATGCTCCACTTCTTGAGCCATGAAAAGATCTCAAGTAAAAAGAAGGGCACAATGAAAAAAATATTACTTATAATTCCTTTGTGAATGATACTCAAGACCTTAAAAATATTTAGGTAGCAACAAGAAAACAATGTTCTGAGGCCACGTAAAGCACCTAAACTTGTGGATAGGTTTCAAAATGTCAAGATTGGTGGAAAACGCAGTCCTAGTATTGGCTTACTACTGGGTTATATTTTGGATCTCGGTCCACAGAAAGTTAAGAGAAACTTGGAAGCTCCATTTATATTTGTCTGGTATGGTATAGGTGGACTCTGTGCTGGGAGATAAATGAATGAAGCAGAGACTCTTCCCCTTGGGCTTGTGGCGTATCTTTCTTTTGCAGTTACTGGTCAGATAAATAACTTCTAGTTCACAGCTGCTGTATGGCCACCTCAAATCTGTTTTCAAGTCCTGATGGCAGCTGGTGGGCGGTTCAAAATTATTTTTGTTCCAGACTTTTTCTATTGCAGTATTGATTTTAGTGGGCAGAATTAGAGGGTGCTGAATTCTTTCATCTCCAACCAAACACAACCGAAGTTGGAAGCATGCAGCCTGGACCTTTTGAAGATAGTGATACCAGTTGAACATCTTGTGGGAAAAATCTTTGTGCTTACATGACCATGCTGCTCTTTGTTACGTGTCTTGGAAACATGAGATTAATGTTGTGCAGGAAGTACTGTAACAGGCCAGAAAACTAAACAAACAGCAGTCATTCCCCACTCTCAGCTATTTCATCAACTTTCTGCTATTGTTACAGATGGTTTGACTAAAAACAGAGAGGAGTGAGTCTGAACACCCCTCCTACAGGAAAACCTGCAGAGCAGCATAATGGGTAAGGAAATCTCTGCAAACTCTATCAGAGGGTTCTTCTCAGTGATTCCAAATGGGGAGTGGAGGAGGAAAGGTTTGCTTTCCTGTACAGGGACACAGCTAATTCCTGTGGGTATCAGCTGCAGACTAATGTCAAAGTGATCCCAGGCAATCAATTGCAGAGCAAACCATTCAGACATGGAGGTATCTAACAAGCTTGTACAAAAGATTATCCCTGGGGAGAAGCCTCGGGGGTAATCACACACATTCCTATTACAAAAGAAGTCCCTTTAAGCTTTAAAGGTTAAATGGCATCAAGGCCCTCCCAAAATAAAAATAAAACATATCATCAGGGAACTTTTTTCTGATTGTTAGAATATCAGCACAGTGTTTCCAGTTGTAGGTTGACCTTACCTGGACACGAAGTGCCCACCAGAGCTGCTATATCACTCACTCCTCAGCTAGACAGAGGACAGAAAATATAACTGAAGTCCATGGGTCAAGATAATGTCCTGTAAAGGACATTGTCTGAATAACCATATGATACAATTTATTGGGCAATGACCTGCACACACAGCAAGCTGCTGTCTAGCTGTTAATACTGGAGTCATGAGGAGGGGAAGAAAAAAATTGTTGTGAATAAAATGACCAAAGAATTGCAAGCAGAAAATTCATCAGATGAACTAAACTCTTGTGCAAATGTGATTCATGAAAAATAATTTGTTTTCTGGATTACAGACTAGGTGAGGTGTATGGATTCATAAAAACTATTAGAGTTTCAAGTTATGAAATCTCTGCATTAGGAATACTTCACAGTTTACTGAGCATGGGGAGTAGTCATGGTATTCCTAACCAGTCATGGTTTGTTATGCCTGTTGGATTTGTGTGGCAGTGTTTTGATAGCAGGTGGGCTACAGGGATGCTGTCTGTGCAAAGCTGCTAGAAGCTTCCCCTGTTTTCAATAGAAATAATGCCAGCTGGCTCCAAGCCTTGGCCATGGATCAAAGCTGAGCCCCTCAGTGATCGTGGTAGTGCCTCTAGGATAATGTATTTAAGAAGGGAAAAAAATTACTATTGCTAAAAAAAAATTGCTGCTGTGCAATACCAGCAGCAGCAGTCAGATGAGGGGCATGAGAATGAGTGAAACTACTATACAGACAACAAGGTCAGTGCAGAATGAGGTAGAGGAGGGGCTCCAGATGCTGGAGCACAGATTCCCCCTGCAGCCCATGGTGCAGACCACGGTGAGGCAGCTGAGCCCGTGCAGCCCATGGAGGTTCATGATGGAGCAGAGATCCACCTGCAGCAATCAATTAAAAAGTAGAATAAAAAATGTAATAATAGAACAGTTTTTTTAAAAAAAAACCCACTACAATAAAACAATTGGGGGAGTTTGCAAAGAAAAAGTGGAAACCTAAAAAATTTAAATTATTATGACTGTAGTTCGATACCAAATATAAAAGAAGCAAACTGATCATATTTTACAACACTGCAATCTGGAACACCATGTTCCCTATCTGAATGTAAAAGATGCAAACACGGTAAATTATTGATGAGAGTTGAAGCAAGTATTAACTTTGTTACACAGATGACTATTTTTCTGATTTGGTGGCGCACTTATGTTAAGATGCAGTTAAACACCCTCTTTTGGATACATTTATCTGATACTTGGGTAAGCATTTCTGTGGGGGATTTTAGTACATAAAAGGGACTATTCTACGTCAGGCCCATGGTCCATCTTAGACAATTAGTTCAGGAATATTAGAATTAGAGGAAACACTGAGTAAAATTTTTTTATATGGATAGAGTATTAATTTATTCAGTAACGTAATGATGCTTCTCCTTTACTGTTTCTTTTTTAATTTTGTTTTTATTTTTATGTGTGGGTTTTTTTGTTTTTATGACTTTTTCTGTTTCTTTAAAAAAAAAAAATAGTTCATGAGTCAGCCAATGACTGAGTAGACATTTTTCAGATAATTTAAATTAGTAGTTCTTTGCTCACCAGTAAGAGCTGATTAAAAAGTGTAGACGCCCAGAGAAGCTGACCTTAATTGCTGGGTGGATTGTGGTGGTGCATCCCTTGTCCCCAGGCCACATTATGATCTGAGAAATGCTCGTTAGGCCTTGGCCTTGACAAACTGCACTTGGGCTCTTGAGCTTATCTAAAACACTGTCTGCTCCCAGGAACAAACAGGTGTCTAATGACCTCCTGGTTTTTAATGAACAGCTTTGGAAACTTATTTTTCTTGCCTGAGTAACAATTCAAGTGGAATAAAATTTTTGCTACTACCTCAAATTATGACCAGAATGAAAAATTGCTGTGGCTAAAACCTACTCTATAATGACCAGCAGTCCCAAGTTAGATCCTTTTGAGGTCTCAGTTCCCAGAAGATAAGGCTAATGTGTATGCTTCAAACACTCGTTTTGGATGGCTGTGGAGCCAGCCAAGGACTGTTAATAATAACACACAAGACTTGTTGGTAATAAGCAAGGAATATTGGTATTAAGACACCATGAGAAAGAACAAGATGTGGCTGGAGAAGGTGGGCCAGAAAGAGGTAGGGCAGCACTTTTCTGGGAGAAAGAATCACAGCACAGTACAGTGCAAGCACATGAATGAGTGGCAGAAAGTGGGCATGACTATAGGGTGGGATTAAGACCACTAAAGACCCTGGAAGCCCTCTGACCCATTTCCAGAAAGGCCTGGAAGAATGCTTGGTAACTAATTTACACAGAAAGCAAAAAATCTATGTTTGGGGTGGAGAAACCTGTCCATAAAAAGGTACCTCCCCTAAGCCCAGGGGGTACTCCCAGGACTCTGGACATCTCATCAGCTGGACTGATGCAGTGGAATCGGTGCTGAAAATAGGATTGACATGCCCTCAGCAGGATCAATGCTGAAATCAGGCCTGGTGACCTTTTTTTCTCTCTCTTTTTTTCTCTTTTCTCCTCTTTCCCATTGTTCAATCTTCTCCTTTTCTCTCCCTTTTCCTCTTTTTTTTTTCTCCCTTGCCTTGAATTTTGCAACTTTAAAGGTCAACTAAAATTTTAGCATGGGCAGTCATACAGGAAAATGTGTTTACAAATACAAAGAAAATAAGGATATCATAGAATCATAGATTGGATTGTGTTGGAAGGGACCTTAAAGGCACCAAGCCCCTACCAGAGTTTAAGAAGTGCTTGGACAATACTCTCAGGCATAAGGTGTAATTCTTGGGGATGGTCCTGGGCAGGGCTAAGAATTGGACTTGATGAGCCTTTCGGCTGCCTTCCAAAGCATATTTTGTGATATTCTCTGATTCTGTGATCATCTCAGTACAATCTCCTGGAGCCATGGACAGGAACACCTTCAACTAGACCAGACTGATCAGAGCCCCATCCAACCTGGCCTTGAACACTTTCAGGTTTGGGGCACCCAAACCCTCCCTCGGCAACTTATTCCAGTGCCTCACTGCCCTCACAATCAAGAATATCTTCCTAGTATCTCACCTAAACCTGACCTCTTTCAATCTGAAACTATTCCCCCTTGTCCCATCACTACATGTCCTTGTAAAAAGTCTCTCTCCAGCTTTCCTGTAGGCCCCCTTTAAGTACTGGAAGGTGATAGAATGTCTCTTCAGAGCCTTCTCTTCTCCAGCCTGTCCTCCAGCCTCTCCAGCTCTCTCAACCTGTCTTCGTAGGAGAGGTGCTCCAGCCTTGTGATCATCTTCACAGCTTCCTCTGGACCCACGCTAAAAAGTCAGCTTCTTTCTTGTGCTGGTGCCCCTGAACTAGACACAGTGCTCCAGGTAGGGTCTCACAAGAGCAGAGTAGAGTAGAGATTCACCTGCCTTGACCTACTGGCCACACTACTTTTGATGCAGAACAGGACACAGTTGGCTCTCAGTGTTGCAAGCTCATTGCTGGGTCGTGCTGATCTTCCTGTCCACCAACACCTCCAAGTCCTTCTCCTTGGGACTGCTCTCAGTGCATTCTCTACCCAGCCTGTACTTGTGCTTGGGGTTGCCCTGATTCAGGTCCATGGCCTTTCATTTGGCATTGTTGAAATCCTGACGTTAGCATGTGAAAACCTCATATATATAAATCCCAGAGTAATTTGTACATTTACACAGAGACAAGTTCTGCTCTCAGTTATAGCTGAGACACAACATTCTTGTCTGAAGGGGCATTGCCCAAGGACCAAATTTGCTTTAGTCTGGGTTAACCTCTTTTTTGAATACCGTATTGTTTGGAGAGGTAGCTGTAAACTAGTCTTAAAGCAGAGGTTAATAATCTAATTGAGTTGTATTTCAGGCTAATAAATCTGTAGCCTCTGAGTGTGATGAATGATTGAAGAAAACAGAAAATCTTGGGTGAAGTAATAAAGGACAGATGGTAAAGACAAAGTTTGCTACAATTGTTAAATATTACTGAGGTGACATATTGTAGCTTATGGTTAGTTTTCTTCAAAGGAGTTTGAAACCACTACAGTCAGTAAAAGAGAAAAATAATGAAGTAAACCAGACAAATGCAAAAGGTGAATATTGATAATAAGATGATTTGTTAAGAATTTGTGTGCTTGATTTAAGGGTCAGTGGTGTCAAAGAGAACACTCAGAATTCATAGTGGAATTGATAATTTATGGACAGGCATTATCATTTCTGCTAACAAACTGTGGTTTTACTTCTATTTACAAACGAAATAGGTGCACTGTGAAAGTGTGTAATAAGGATAAAGTGGGTTCATATTAATTGTTTTCACAGGAAGAGGTTTAAAAATTGCAGAGCAATAAAAGAATGTAGTAAAAAACTGAAATGCTTCCACAAGACAACAGATAGTTTTCTTGTGGACAGATACTGTACAGGCATCTAAATTATTCAGAATACAGTAATATTTTGTAATGCAAAAGATACTAAAAAGTGAAATGGAATATTTGCAGAGAACTTACAAGTTTGTTTCATTAGATTTAGTGAGTCTGGGATAGATCAAGACAAAAATCTCATTGTAAAGGTAATTATGAGCTAATGAAAAATAGCATAAACAAATAATAGAAATACAAAAGGTTTGTAATGACAGTACTTCTGTCTTAGAAGTTAAGTCTTCTAAAGACTGTTTAAAATTTTCTGCTTCTTACTGTGGGGAGAATTTGGTGAGATTTCAGCATCAAAGACATTCTCATGAAGTCCATATTTAGGCAGAGCTTAAAAATCTGATGATTTGCTTGAGAGAAAAAATTATCTCTCTGCAGCTGAAGCAATTTGAAAACTTCCCACTGGCTTCAAACAGAAGCTGGAACAGGCTATGTGTGAGAAGATAACTCCTAATCTCTCTAGTAGACTAATTCATCTTTTCTGCTTTTTAAATGAATATTGCCATCACTGCCAGATCAAGCAGTTTCAGTTGCTAAACATGCTATCAGAACAAGAGATTTCTAAGCTAGATGTGCTAGAACAAGACAATTTGGATTACATACCCTAAGCAAAATATAGCAAAATAGAAAAAACCTGTACAAACAAAGTAAAATAAGATAAATCCAAACTAAAATTAGCCTCAAGTCCAGTCTTGTTCTTATTGAAAGTAGCACTTTGGCAGATAATAGTTAAAGTAGATTTCTGTTTGTTTAGGTAGACAATTTTAACACAATCAAAGGGGAAAGAACATTTCACTCTTGCAGTGTGGCAAACTATTTCCTTTTGTGCTTCTCCTCCTCAGTCTTTGTGTATTACACCATTAATGCTGTTTTCTGGAACAGAAAACATCTCCCCACTTTGTTGGCCTGAAAACCAGTGGAAAATATTTCCAAACATTAGGAAAACCATATGCTAAACACATTTAAATATGAAATGGCCTGAGAACATTTATTTCTTGTGCAACAATAATGTAAAAATCTTGATCATATAGAAACACAAAGTTATGGGGAAACAAACCAAACAGTCACAGATCCTTGGTGATACACTTTGGCTTAGAGTCCTGCCGTTTGCAGAATCCAGCTTCTGCAGTGTCTATCAGGCCCTGTAATTTTGGGTTTGGAGATTTTCCCACTTCACCACATTAATTAATTTCTCTCAAAATTCTGTTTCATACAGTACTGTTTCTAGGAATGATTGCCATGGTAGAGTAAGATAGTAATTCACTGAATTGCTATGCTTTTGCAGAATGTATTCCCATATAGTATTTTCATTTATATTTTTGTTGACATGAGTGAAGAAAAATCAGAAGGTTTCCTGGCAAAGAGTATGTACCATTTCTTTTTTATAGATTTTAAAAATTGATATATATTAATAGATTAGGAAGCAGACAATTTTTGGGGGATAGTTAGAACATTATGAACACTAGCACAAAGTTTAGCTGTCTTATTTTCTAGCTCTGAAAAATGGGAGCAGTCAGTCTTTAGGAGCTGATGTATAATAAGATACTATGGTGCAGCTATGTTATGTATTATTAATTCAGTTTTGATAATGCTGTAGACTGTAGATGTTAATGTAGATAAGGGGGATAAGGATAGATAAAGATGGGGGTGCAATGGAAGGAGGGAGAGAAAATAAGTGAAACCAGCTGGACTCAGTTTTTAAACAATTAAAAGACATAGATCTTCATGCAGTAGGTAGCTGATTAGTGACAAAGGATGTCACGAATACTAAAAATCTACATAGATTCAAGAGGAAGTGGAAAATTTGACAGAATAGAAATTCATTGATGATTACAAAATGTATAGAAACCATTTCTAGCTCACAAGGAGCTGAAAAGGCTTGCAGGTTTAAGGGAGGGACAATGTATATCCTTGCCCTCTTTTTACTCAAGTATTTGCCTGTTACCCCTACTGAAGACTGGACTCTGGGCTTGACAGACTTCTGCTGTTATCCAGAGTGGCTTTCTAATGTTCATATGTTTCAGGAATCAAAGTTTAATATTTAGTGAAACAGTAAATAATTTTCATGAACCACACTTCATATATATATAAAGTATTCCATACCTGAAAAAGAAATGTCCACCACAAATATGCATAGTCCCTCATTTTCTTCTGATGTAATATTCCATAAAAGAATGTTGATCTCATTGTATCACTTTGTGTCTTTGCATGAACTATAATCAAAATTTCAGGGAAGCTTAAATTGAAGGTGCTTAGAAGTAAGATTTTCTTATGGAAATTTGTGTGCTCTGCTTTGTAGCTGTTTAATTGGTCCAGGGTGAGTAATCACAGTTCTCTGAATAATAGGTGTCTTAACTGGTACATTTAAAATATAAGTATTAAGGACTTCTGCTGGCATAATGAATGTTTTTTTTTTTAAAGGAAAACATTTATCCATCCTGAAATTAAATACACATGGGAAAACCCCAAGTTCCTCTACAGTGAAAGTCAGTGTGGAAAAAAGGATTTACCCATACAGATTATGTGGAACTGGATTCCAAATATATTTGGCAGTAAGATATCTATCTATCTATCTATCTATCTATCTATCTATCTATCTATCTATCTATCTATCTATCTATCTATCTATCTATCTATCTATCTATCATCTATCTAATTTCCAAATATATTCCAAGTATTCCCTGCCAGCTCCACAGGCAGCATACTGAAGATTTCTCAAACAAAAAACATGTGGTCAGTAATATATTGTTTTGGATGCCTTTCTGATAGCATCCCATAACTCCTTTAGCAACTTTTCTGACTTGGTATGATAAACAGTGCCATGCCTTATGGAGTGAGAACTCACTGATTTATGAGCATTTCAAAGGACCACTGTGTACTTCTTCATTTGGTATGTGCAAGAATAAATTCTAGAAAAGCTCATATGTCTTTTACATTGGTTTGTTTTGCTGAAACATTGCAAAGTAGAGTTTTAATATTTGAAACTTACAAGGATAAATTAGAATTTAATTATTTTCTGATCATTAATTTGATCGTGATTGGTCTTGGATCAGCCTTTTAGTAGTCACAAAATAGATATAGACTCTATTTCAATCAGGCCATAGTGCCTCAAGACTTTATATTTAACTCTGTACTCTAGTATTATGTTTATCACTTTTAACATAAATTTTATTTTAATGCTCTTTCTGCATTCTGCATGTTTAAATGGATTCCTTTTATTATCTTTTCAATTATTCATCTCTAATGTCTACTCGGGTTCTTCTGTTTCATGACCTTAATTCCTCTATTTGTGATTTATTCTCTTCTTACAAATAGTCATTCCATTTTGTCCTTGTACTACCCTGTGTATGTGTAGGGACATTTGTAGAATACTGAAGTTATTTCACTATAATATTTATTAATGAGGAATTATGTGGCAGTAAATGATGAGTGAAAGGAGGTCATGTCTTTACTCTTTTCTTTTCTAAAGCAAGACCCAGTGGGTGTGATTAGCAGTGACTTTAAGTTCAGCATCTGTATTTAATCAGCAGTTATTTCCCCATTTCCTAGACTGCTTAGTGTAACCCTTCACCACTTTATCTCTCCTCTCTGCCAACCAGGCAATAAAAGAAGGGTTTCTAGCTTTCTCCTTTATTTTTTTGGCCAGCCTTGATAAAATTTAAATATCTTATTTTCTGTAAAGAAGTGATAACATCAGTGAAGTAAATGACTGAACAAAACTTTTCAACTCTGTGGAGTTTTTGTACAGCATGATGCAGTAGTGACTCAGCAACACAGAATAGGTTGAAAATGTTTAATAATTACCTACATTTAATTTTAATTTCAAGTATTGATTTCAGTTTACTGTAATTAGAGTTGCAAAAGGGCAATGTTTTCATGGCTTCTGGCACATCAGTGACATTTACCATGTATCAAGACTCATGAATTTGCCTTAAGGGATCCTCAGCCTTGAATCTCCTCCTCCCTACCTTGGAGAAAAAAGTGCATAGTTTCATCTTCCATGTAAGCAGTGGATCAAAACCAATTCATATCTGCGGGAAATCACATGAAGAAACAGCAGTTTAAGTATATAAAGCGGAAGGAAAGTTTTGCCTTAATTTTTAAGAAGTCTCCCTTATTCTGTATCAGGTTTATAGCCACAAAAATATTGGCATTCACATTCAAATTCTTTATCAGTTAGAAATGTAATTTTCTTCTTTCTTTCTCTTGTTTGATTTTGCAATCAGACTAGATATGAACTTGGTTATATTGATAGTTAAATACCTTTGAAAATGATCTCTTGCATGAATAATTAACATTAGGCAATTAATAAATCAAAAATAAATTGCCTATTACTTTCCTTGGAGCTAATCTCACATGAGTTTTGTAATTACATTCTGTTACCCTTCTGCTTCCCATGTCTTTACTTGCCATCATTCCCAAATACTATGGAAGGATTTTTTATGTGTATTACAAGCAATACATATAAAACATCATCACCACAAGGATCAGACTAGATCGGCCCATCTGGCTATGCCCAGAAAATGGACATGAGAAATAATCAGTAAAAAAATCTCAGCTATTTTTTCTTCCTGTAGGTGAGAGGTTCATGAGACCCTGTGGAAATTGATAATGCAATGAAACTAATGGCCTGTTCACTCTAGGTCATGGGAACTGGGGAAGATGCCAAGAAATTAGTAAAATATGGGAAAAAAAGGGTTAACAAGTATACAAGTTAAAAGTTCAAAATACTGTATGAAATTTTAGTATGTTGCAGAACTGTCTTCTGTCTGTGAAAGTGAAGGATTTTAAAATGTTCTATATAAGGGCTAATATTTATTAGCCTAAATACTTAAAATCTGAATTGCATCAGAGCTTAGACCCTTGAGGAAGCTTATTCTTGAAGTGCAATAACAGCCTGAGGTAAACTGTAAACTAAAACTGAGAAAAAAATCAATTTAAATGAAAGCATTTTTTCACTATGCAATATATTGCCCAGGTACAGACAGTAAAACACTTATTATTACTTAGAACTCTACAACAAAATTGATTAATAATGAATTCAGCTCCAAAATATTTGTTTTCCTCAGAGGAGTTTAAACAGAGACAAAGTTTGTGGGTTGTGAAATAAATTTTAAGTCTTTATCTTTAATGAGATTGTGTTCATATTACCACGACTTTCCTTTCATTGAACTTCAAGGCACAGCTGAATGTTACCATACTTGTCTTTAAGGAATGTCTGGGAATTGTTTTTTGAGAGTGGGAGGACAGAGTTATGTGTGGTGGTTTCTTTTTTTATAATATATGCTTTTCCTGTCTGTTTGGGCAACCATTACATCATAAAAGTGGCTCAAATTAAAGTTATTCTGCTACCTTGTGGCTGTAACTTGAAATACCATATGTTCAGTGGTTTAATATATAAAATTATCCATTATATTGATACTCATACCACTTGGCATTTGTTAAACTGCATCCAGAATACTGTATTTGATTTTAGACCCCTCCCCAGAACAAGAGATAACTCTCTTCTACTTGAGGCCAAGTATCAGACATTCCTTTTTTTTCCTTACCCTTCTTCTGTCTCACATTTGTAGCAAAGAAACAAAACATGGAGGGAAGAGTGGTACTGCAGCTGTTCTTGTGCTTGAACATATGACTTGGTGAAAGCAGTCCAGGGTTGATGAAGAATGTCATACTAAATCCTGGAGAACTAAAAAAAGAAAAAAAAAAAAAAGTAACAACTTTAACATTTAGATGACTAAGAAAGTATGTTACTTCAGGATCATCATGTAATTGATGTTGCATAGATCCCACCTTAGATACCCTTTTAAAATTCTTCTTACATGTCCTTCTTTTGAATATCATTTTACTTTTCTTGAAATGCATAAGCACTTAGTTCAGAAGAATCATTTACTAGGCACTTGCAGTGACCTTGTGTGTAATTTTTCTTTGCCGGTGATTTGCCATGCACATGTTCTTCATGTGCTCCTTTCGACATGAGAAAGATGAGGCCTTTTCAGTGTGATGACCATTATATGCCCAGACATACATTTATCTGGTAGTAAAAAGGGACTATAACTCATCTTAACTGAAAATTCTGCTATTCTGACTTAATTAAAATGAGTTTAATGGCTTATAAGAATTCATAAGAATTGCTGATACTTTGAATCTCTGGACCTAATTACCTAATTTTGAACAGATTATGCAAATATTATTTAAATATTTAGGTGTTCAGAATTCCCCATATGTGGTACCCAACTATAGATACGCTGGCACTAAAGCATCCCTGACCTAATACTTACATAGAAACAGTGAGATGGTCTCTCACCTCAGTCTAACCATAATAAGAACAGAAAGATAATTCCAACACTCAGGATCCCATTCTGCTCTAGGTATTTTGAAAAATACCTGATATAACTCTATTTAATATTCTGTCTTCAGATGACATCAAAAGATCTACTCTCACAAACCAGCTTTAGATCTGTCCTGGTATTTGTAGCTATTCTTAGCAGGAATAGTTTGAATAACTCAATCTAAAATAGTTTAAAATAATGAGAGAATAGCATCCTAACAACACTATCTTTCATGTCATATTTTAGAGCAATAATTTATTTGGGCTAATATTGGCAATGAATCATTATTGTTTATGATGTGCCATATGTGAAGAGAAGTAATTCCTTCAGATCTCCAAATTGTGTTGCATTAAATCAGATTTGCTGAATGAAATGTCTTCACCTTGTATTTTGTGTAAAAATACATTAACTAAAGTTCTGCAAGTGCTTTTTATTCTTTTGAGAGAGAGCAAGCATCATGCTTGATAGAGTGCATTAGAGAGAAAGCTGTTAAGCATAAGAGAAGAAAAAAAGCCTTCATTTTTGAGTTATCAATTCAAAGTTCCAGTAGAGGCCCTAAATAATAGTTTTAGTACTATTTTGTATTTTTAACGTTTAACAAACTTTTGCTTTTGCAACAGAAGGGCAAAGTCCCATTCTCTATTGACAGAAGCACATCTAATAGGCATAAGTAAAGATCAGCGTCATACAGTGAGAGTGAAACATTATGCAGCAAAAGTTGTTTCAGGAAGTGTCTATGTCTGGGGAAGCTCCTGATAGAAAAGGAAAAACTTCCATTCATGTTACAAGTACAGCATTTAGGCATGGAATGACACTATCATGTAGAACAGAAAGCAAATAGTTTTAGATTTGTATGGAGAGACATGGAGCACCATATTTGTACAAGATACATTTGTAAATGTTCTCTTATATTGTTATACCAAGGAGGGGTTCAGCTGGCTTACAAATTATTTTTTCATCTTATTGTAGGAAACAAACACACAGTATAGGTTTTGCCTTGCTGTGGAGTCTCATTCACAATGAACCTCACTGTTTACTTTTGGTGGTAAGATAGTTCTACACTACAGAAAAGAAATCTTAAGAGACGAGAGGCATGCACATTGTTTAGTACAACTTTATTTGTAATGGCAGCGTATCAGAAGTACTCTGGAATGATAACAGCAAATCTGTGAATCTGAAACTGCTTTTTCCAATCCTTCAAAATAAATGTCTTCATTAAA